AACAACGTTAAACAGGTGATCACGGCCCTGGTACAGGCTGGGCCTTACCTACATCACATCTATACCAACAGTTACCTACAAACACAAATGGAAAACATGGAAGACTCACCTTTTCTCTGAATGGTGAGAGTTGGAGTCTCAGTGGAAAAATCAGTTACACTCTCATCAGCTTTGAGATTATGGGATGTACAGATGTTTTAGCTCTGGAGGACAAACAGAAAAACAGCAGCTTCATTAAAACCAAACAGTGTCCACAGACCTGTGTGAACATTAATGATCTAGATCCACCTGCTCTGTACATTCTGACACGTTCTCATGTTTCTAACCTGAAACATCACTGAGTCCAAACATGAAGTCAGAGTTCATCAGTATTCTTCAGAAGGAGCTCCGGGCATTAATGGATTCAGGCAAATGGCTTTAATAGAAGGCTTCCCATTTTCATGAAGCGTCTGTTATAGATTTATTCAGATGGCACTGAGATGGAGTCGCTCGCTACAGTGCTGCAGATCATCTGCTCTGATTACTCTCCACTCCTCTTAGAAACTGTTCTTGGAGGCAGTTATGAAAATAAGTTTTTATCACATTTGCTGAAACTGTCAAAATATTAGAGAAAGAATCTGTGAAAAAAAGCGTGTTCCTCTTCCTCTTCTTAGGATATTTAGAGGTATTTGGAAAAATCTACTGAACAAAAGAAAAACAAGAAACCAGAGCTGAGGAGAGCTGTCAGTCACTGCTGATGAGCCGTGCTCAAACTGTCAGACTGAGCAGCGCTGGTCAAACATGAATCAAGATTATGTTACTGCGTCGTCTATTTCCAACACATTCGCCCAACTTGTCATATATCTGGGCTTCGTGCCTTTCACGTCTACATATTACCGGCTTGGTGTCCTCTTGCATTTGTTGGTAACACTCCAGGATGGTATGTTATTGTATTTTAAATACACGTCCGTATTCACAGGAAATGTACACTTTCTGCTCTTCAGATGGACACAGGTTTTTTTTCAAAGTAAACACAGCAAAAAAACACAAGCATGTGGTTCTGTTTAGAAAAAAAAAAGTCATGGTTTGGCTCTGCATTCATACGGGAAGTGAACAGCCTCCTCCGCTGTGAAAGTCTAGGGTTTGTTGGACCCATCGACCGCCCCACCCACCCACCCTATAGGGACTTTCCAGCTCCTTAAATTGCGTAGTTATCACTGGCATTTCACACTGACACCGTCCAGCAGCATATCACACCTCTGCGACAGCCACATTACAAACAGGCGCTGCGTGGCGGCATATAACACTGCCACCAAAGATGGCTTTGGTGGTGAAATCACTGACAAAGCGTCGCTATTTGACGACTTAAATGAATAAGAATAGGCTGCTATTTCTCACCACAAATGTTTTCGTTAACATAATATACTGTGCAGCTGTAAAATGGGTCTTCTTTATACCGTCCCCAACATGGCAGCTGGGTCACAAACTGAAATATGTTTTTGAGGTGAGACAACACACAAACAGAATCTTGACTCATGTTTGATCAGTGCTGCCTAGTTCAACTCAGTGTCACTCTGAAGTTGTTGAGTACCGGCGCTCGACTTCCAGCCTCAGACACTGATGAAAAAAGCGTCCTTTCACGTCAGCATGATGAAGGACTGGTTGCCGTTGTTGTTTAATAGCACAAGGCGGTGTCAGGGAAAATGTGACAGATCAACATCATAAGGTGGCGGAAGTCCGAGTTCACCCAGGAGGCTGGTGTAGTATAGGTGCTGTAATATTTCTACATGTTCCTGTAGATCTTTTATGTTTTTTATTGTGTCGTTGTTTGGTTGTAATTTTTGTGTGCTGCTGTCTTGGTCAGCTCTCCCTTGTAAGAGAGATCTTATTCAACAGGACTTACCTGGTTAAATATGGTTTAAATAAAAATGTAGTGTTGTAGCGATGTAGTGCTTTTATTTTGAAAGAGACTGTATGCAAACTGTACATTTCCTGTGAAAACAGAAGTGTATTTTGAAAACAGACAATGCATGTCACAGGCTGAAGCTGACACAGACTCGGTCTCATGTACAGCTGTTAGACTGTAGTTGTAAGCTGCGTCCGATCTGACGGTCTTTACTTCGATAAGGTCGTTGTTACATGTCTCAACACAGCCGACGTCAGCAGACACAAACAGTAATTCTGTGATTCTGTAACGGTGAATGTGTCATGACTGATAATCAGTCATTCAGCAGCTGCTGATGCTGCAATTTTAAGACAGTGACAGCAAACAGGGAAAATTTTGTGCCAAATGTTTATATATTACCTAATTTACATAATTTAATTACATGCAAACAGCACAGGAGCACAGTGTCAAACAGTGTTATCAGTGAAACATGGACCCAACACCTGGTTCTGGCACCTGAAAGCAAGTCGTGCAGAGTGTTTACTGGCTCCTCCCACCGTCCGCAAATGGACTTCTTTTGATCTGACACTTAAATCACACTATTACGAAACTCAGTGGTTGGTCTGCTTTGCTTTCACACCACAAACAAAGCACACCAGAGTTCATTTGACAGTTTTTAAAGAAACAGAAATGAACCAAACTGAACTGCACCAAATATGATGAATGTAAAAGCCTCTTTGGTGGAATTTGCTGAGACGCAAAAACAAATGCAGCTCAAATCAGGAGCTCAGAGGTGATTGGTGTGTGGTGCTCTGCATAGTGACATGTTTTTGTTTTGTTTTTTTCGGTACA